AAGACTTTTATCTTGGATTTTTATCAGTTTGACTATGGTAAGCCTAGGTATTATTTCCTTTTTTAATTTTGCCTTCTCAGGGTTTTCTGAGCTTCTTGGTTTGGTGGGTTGATGTCTTTCATCAATTTTGGAAAATTCTCAGCCACCGTCTCTTCAAAATTTTTCTCTGCACCATTGTCTTTCTCTTTTCCTTTCAGAACTCCAATTACATGTGTTTATTATTATCTCACAGGTCTTACATGCTCTGATCTAATCTTTTCTTTTTTCATTCTTTTTATCATTGTGCTTCCATTGGGATACTTTTTTTTTTTTTTTGATCTCTCTTAGAATTCATCCATCCTCTTCCTTCTATGTGCATTTCTACTGTGAGGTCCACTCAATAAACTTTTCATTTCAAAATACTTTATTATTTTTAAAGAGAATTTTTATTTAAAAATTATTATTATTATCAATTATTATTTTAGAAAACTTTTAAAAAGTTTCTTCTTGGAGTTCCTCCCTTTCAGTGATTATTTCTATCTTTTCCTCTACTTCTTTATCCTAATTATGGATTGTCTTTGTCTGTTAATTCTATCAGCCAGGTCAGCTGTGGGTCAGTCTCTATGGGCTGTTATGTTTTGTCTAGAACATGTCAAACATGTTCCTTTTCTCTGGCTGCATCTTGTGCCAGACACAGTGTATAAATGAATTGTAAAGACGGAAGTAGAAAATATTTATCCCTCACTAGAAAGCTGTCTCTGTCAGGCAGCTAGGATGAAGAGATAATCTCTCTGGTTAGATTTAAGCTAAGCTGCAGCTTAGTTGTAGCTTAGTTAGTTTTAATTCATCCTTTGCTTTCAAAAAGTTTTGAGGTATAAAGGATCCCTCCTTCTAGCAGGATTTGGCAACCAAGCACCATGTAACTGTAGGCTTCTGCCCTGCTCCCTTGCCCTGCCTGAAGATGTCTGGGCCACTGGAGATCTCCCTTTGGCTCTCACCCTGGTCTCAATTACTCACATGCTGCTGAGCGCTGGATACAAGCACTAAGGTTAAGAATTGGTAGATGGCGAGAACTCGTTCTGTGTCTGGGGCTCGGTATTCCATGTTAGGCCAAGATTGCCAAACATTTGGCGAGTTTCTCCATTTACTTGCAAAGTCTCCTACCCAATGACAGGTCTGCTTCTTCATCTATTCACTAAGATTAAAAGCTGCCTCGAGTCCAAGGTCATATATGAAGGGCTTACCCCTCTCTGAGATTTAGTTTTCCCTAAATTTCCTTGTGTCCTAGTTCCCCAGTGGGTTCAATAATATGCCTGATTTTGTAATTTAACTGGTGTTTTTCTGTGTTAGAGTGAGAATTATGGTCATTTAGGATCATCCTCCTCATAAGCAGAAATAGCATTTTGAAGATTTTGTTTGTGAAATCACTTTGTTAATTTTTTTTTCTGATCATAAAAATAATGATCCTTTTCAGAATTTCAGAAACCCCAGAAAATTGAAGAATACCTCATCAATATGCATTTTCACCATTTATAAGACTTACCCTAATCGTCCCTGAGTTGCTTCAATTCCAAGGTGTCTGGTGTCCAAGTGGAAAGGATTTTACTTTCTCTTCCCATTTTCTGCACAGTCTTCGGCCTTCAAAATTCTTGTTTGTTTCTTGGATTTTATTTTTCTTCTCTATTCTCCTTTCACACGTACCTTCTATCTCATGGAAGGTGAAATGCATCACCCTTATGCTATATAGTGAACTTTAGGTCTGTAGTGTGTTTTCCTTCAAAAAGTTTCCTCTTCTTGGTACTCAGAAAATAAAGGCATTATTCCATAGACATTATGGCCCCCAACCATCAAGACTGATGAGGTGGATTGGTGGACGGCAGAGACCCATACATTTATTTCCCTCATTATATAGTGTTCAGTTACATAGCTCTTGTAAATTGCTCATGGAAATATCACACCATAAGATAGCTGTGGAAATGTCCAGGTTTAGGGAAAGGATACTCTGAGAGATGCAATGAAACTCAGTGATCCTTTCTTGCCAAAGAGGGAAAGAATGAGTCCCAAGCTCCACATTACAGAGCAACAGATCTCTCTTGTGATATAGGGTGAGAGAAAGGCACTAAAAGAATAAATAAGATAAGACAACTGTTGTCAGATAGAGTAAATTCCTTTATTTGATAACATATAGCTCTGATCCTCCTTTTCAATCAATATCAGTGACTAGATTTTTGTTCATATATTTATTTTTTTAAAGGGCTGTCAAGGTAGCTGCATGGAACTCCTCTATCTTGTAAAATAGGCCCTGGTGGAATTTCCTTTCTTGCATGAGGACTGGCTTCTCCTGGGCACAGGCTGCCTGGCATTATTAGCTTATGTTTAGCAGCCTTGAACTGTTGTTCCTCACACACAAAATGGTACTGGTGTTTTACAAGGTTACAGATGGATTTTGAATCTTGAAGATAGGTTCTTTTCTTCTTTATTAAATGAACTGTAATCTGATTCATCGTAGATATAGTGAAATAAAGCCTCAAACAATAATAATACTAATTATATGCATTTCATGTTTTTATGACCTTTTTTTTTGGTATTTATTGTCCAACTTCATAGTTGTATCAATTTAGTGAGGAAGATGTTTATACCCTTGTCTTTTATTGAGGAGGAAACTTGAGTGCATGGAAACTTGATTTTTTTTTTTTTTAAAGTGACTAGCCCAAGATCATAGAAACTTACTGATAGAACTGGGTCAGTACTTATCCAATTCTTACCTTATCTCTTTTGAATGTAGAGCTGAGTAAGGTCAGGTTAGTAGTAGAAGGGCACTTTCAAAGGCAGGGATAAGAGTAGAAGAAATTATTATAATGGCATCAATTCAGCTTTATATTTGAATGACGATTCAAAACAGGTTTCTGCCTCTATGTTTCCTCTTTCTCCTTCTCAGTTAGCTTTTATTCTTTTATCGCAAAGTTTACTCACAGCCAACTAGCCAAATGAAAAGTATGGCTTGATTAAGAATCTCTTTTGTCAGTAATTTGTGTCTAATGTTTTTAGCTTTCCCATGGGCTGTTGTAGAAAATGGTAAATCTGGTTTAAATGAAACCTGATCTTGTTAATGGTTTAATAGCAGCTGCCACAGGGTTATGGTATTTTTCAACAGATGCTTCTGTTTCACTTTAAACATACACTAAGTCTTGGAATCTTTTACATAAATCATATAAAATATGCTTACACACTTCTGGCTAAATATATTGCTATCCAATAGTGTTAGACACGTCCTTATCTTTGTCCACTTATAATTATTCACATAGAACAAAAAAGAAACCCAAGCCTATACTCTATTTAAAAAAAAAAAAGATTATTCGCTTTCCTGAAATTCTTTTTTTAAAAGGCCAAAGGGCAGGCTCCACCTCTACATCTGGGGACCTGAAAAATGATTTGGTCAATCTGATCATTTCATTCATCTTTATGGCCTCACACTATTTATTTAGTGTGGACAAATTGCTTATACATTGCTGTGCAGTATAGTGTCAATGGAAATAAACAGGACAGTCACACAATTAAGTGGGACACTATTTTTCCTTGAAGAGGTAGACCTTGTAATAGTAATTTAAGCTATCATTATGCCTAGGATTAGTTTCTTTGGAGTGTGATAGCTCAATCATTTTTATTTATTTATTTGTTTTTAAATGTTTATTTATTTATTTTGAGAAAGGAGAACGAGGGAGGGGCAGAGAGAGAGAGGGAGAGAGAGAATCACAAGCAAGCTCCTCGCTATCAATGCAGACCCCAACAGGGGGCTCGATTCACGAACCATGAAATCATGACCTGAGCCTAAATCAAGAGTAAGATACTTACCCATCTAAGCCACTCAGGTGCCCCCGTTCAACCATCTTTTAAAGAAGCATTTCTTCTGTGTAAAGTGCTTGTTTGGAGTACGTGAATACTACAAAGATGAGTGACAGGCAAATAAAACAATGATGGTGATAACTGACAGACATAGTTATACAATAGAAGTAGCAACTTCAGCAGAAGGAATTGAAAGTGAAGTATACCATGTTCGGTAACTTATTCCAAGTTTGATTCCTAAAACTCATGAAGTGCAGACTCTTGAATGGACAAGGTTCATTTTATGGCTTGGGTCGCATTTTCATGGTGGCATGTTGCTCAAGTAATTTGGGCTGGAAAGGTTATGTGTGTAAATATATCCGATGGTGAATTTTTCTTTAAATATTTTTATTTGAGTGTAATGGACACACAATGTTTCATCCATTTCATGTGTATAACACAGTGACCCGACAAATTTAAATGTGATGCTCACCACACATGTAGCTGCCATTATGCAGGTTGTAACTGGAAGTCTGTATCTCCCACTGTCTACCCATTTTGTTCATCCCCACCAGCACCCTCACCTCTGGCAACCATCAGTTTGTTCTCTGTGCGTACTGTTCTGATTCTGCTTTCTGTTTGTTGGTTTGTTTGTTTCAGAGTCCCTGTACATGTGAACTCATAGAGTATTTGTCTTTGTCCATCTGACTTACTCTCTAGGTTCATCCATGTTGCAAATGGCATGATCTCATCCTTTTTTATGCCTGCATCATATTCCATTTATACACACACACACATGCACACACGCACGCACACACACACACACACACACATCAAATCTTCCTTAAACATTTGTCTTGTCAATTGCTCTTAGGTTGCTTCCACATCTTGCCTACAATAAATGATGCTGCTGTGGAAAACAGTATGGAGTTTTCTCAAAAAAGTAGAAACATCATGGGATCTAATAATTCCACTACTGGGGATTTACTCAAAGAAACAAGAGCACTATTTTGAAAGGGTATATGCACCCTTATGTTTATTGCACCATTATTGACAAGAGTGCATTTTTAAAGATAACCAATAGAAGTAAAACCCAACTCTGTCCTTATCATTCTAAATTATATATCAGTATCACTGAATGCAGAACGCTTCTGCATACAAGCATCCCGATCTCCCCTTGTCTCCGTATCTTTCCCTAGGCACTCCCTCCTGAGAAAGACGTGAAACCCGGCATGGCTCTCTTGTTTGAACTCTGTCTCCTTCGTGGGAAATATGCTTGTTTTGACTGCGTTGTGGGCTGCGCAGCCTTCCCTTTGTGTGATAACAACTTCGATGTCGTGGAAGGGAAATTCAAGTGTCCCCTTCTCCGAGGACATTATGACCAGAAATTTGACAGCTTCAGGAAAATGGAAGATTTGATGTGCCAGGACTTGGACCACTGGCTATGCAATCTCTACTTTGAGGTTTGTAACATGATGTTTTAAATGTTTTATTTATTTTTGAGAAGGGGCAAGTGGGAGAGAGGCAGAGAAAGAGGGGAAGAGGATCTGAAGCAGGCTGACAGCAGCGAGCCTGATGTGGGACTTAACTGACGAACTGCGAGATCATGACCTGAGCCATAGTCAGACACTCAACTGACTGCGCCACCCACTGTCATATGATTTTGTAAGTGGAAAAAGAACTTAAAATTTTTCTAAAACCAGGGCACCTGGATGGCTCAGTTGGTTAAGCATCTGATTTCAGCTCAGTTCATGATCTGGCAGTCAGTGAGTTTGAACCCTGCATCGGGCTCTGTGGTGAGCCTGGAGCCGGCTTGGGATTCTATGTCTTTCTCTCTGCACCTCCCCTGCTTGCACTCTGTCTTTCTCTTTCAAAAATAAATAAACATTAAATTTTTCCCTAAAACTGCTTATTTCTAGCCTTTAGCTTACTTTTGTGCTATTGAAATTTTCAATATGTATCATAAATCTGTAAAAGCATTTACATCTTAATGCTTTCTGAGTGCTGATTAAATTGATGTCTGAAATTTAAAGATAATTTAATCCAAACTTCTATGTCATCAGTGGGCTAGGAAGGGCACCCCAGTCCTTCAATCTTCTGCTTATAATCTGCTGCTGCTGGATCTGGTCTATCTCATAAACTTGGGTACAGGGTGATGGTATTTCCTTATCCAGTGTACTAATTTAACTACTACTTTGTGTTGGGCATTGCTTGGTCTAGGGATACAGAAAAAATGAGATCTAGTCTATGTCTTCCTGACTCTCGCCACGTATTTGATGAGACAAGCATGTGTTCATACAAAAGATAATTAATGACCCACATTTCCATGGGATAGAAACCGTCATCACAAATCTCCCTTCGCCGTACATATCACTTCAAAGCACACTGTCTTATTTACCTCAAGAATTAAAAACAACCCTTGGGTGAACCTCTTTTATTTGTACATATTTGGAAATTTATTTTCTAACCAAGTCTTTTGGCAGAAATGTCATTGCATAAATTCATTCTAGGGAAACATCATGGAGGATCCAAAAAAAAAAAAAAAAAAAAAATGACAGGGTATCTTTAGTGTAAAGCATTCTGACAGGATTTTAGTTTATTTTTGTCCTCTGTGTCTATATTTATTCTTTCTGATTGTGATTATTTTCTGCAGTGTCTGTATCATAAAATGCTATGACTTTTTTTCTTCCTTACCTACATGTTTGACATTTCCCAGTCTGTCCTCTATCTGTCTGTCTATTTAGCTGACTAGCTAGGTAGCTATCAATCTAATCTAATCTAATGTATGTGTGTATGTATATGTATGTTGTGTGTGTATGTATGTTGTATGTATGTATATTATATGTACGTGTGTAAGTATGTATCATCTATCACTGTTATCGATCCACCTGAGTGACAGAACTATGAAATACGGACATTTCCAGGAAACACATATAGTTTTGGCTTAAAAATCAGCAGGTATATATCCTTCTTGTGTGATGGTCTTCCTGTGTCCTATTTATTTTAAGTTGAATCAACTGGCATTTTTTTTCCCTCTTAGCTAATACCATTGTAATGTTTTGCTGAAATATCTTTTTGAGATATTCAAGGTTGCTGTGAAGAAAACAAATATAAATATGTACCTTTCTACTCATTCTGAAAATAGTTGCCCTTCTGGAATAATTCTGACTGTATATTGGAATCATGTAGAAAGTTTAAAAATAGTATGCCCAAGTCTTGTTCTCAGAGATTTTGAGTCAATTGTTTTTAGGTGGGATATCTGATTCAGAAGTTTTTAAAAGCTTCCACAGTTTAGACACACTGATATGAATACATTTGAAAAGAAAAGCCATTAGAAATAAATTCAACGGAGTTATTGAAAAATCATCTAAATTTAGAAGAAAACTATAGATAACCCAAAGCAAAATATTTCATAAGTAGATGACTTGGATATTGCACTAAGAAATCAAAATGAACTAAAAATTAAAATATAGTTATAAAAGAAAATAAATTTTGATATAGGCTTACTAATAAATGTGACAGGCATCTATAAGTTTTTACTAATTGTTACTTAAAATTCAGTGTTGTGTAAATTGTGACAAGGAAAATCAGCACCGATTTTATTTCATAAAAAGTCATTTGGGAGTGCCAGAATTGATTATAAAGACATGAGTATTTTATATTTAAGATAAATGAAGAAGTGGTGTTTAAAATTTACAGGGTCAAAAAAAGTAATTATTTGCAAAACAACATTAGAAAGCTTGATTTCACTAAAATCTACTTGAACACATTACTAAAATTTTCCTCTTTCTTTTCTGACTCCCTTTAAAAAGTAGTAAAAAGTAGTCTTATGATTTATCTGTCGAGCCCACTGAGCATTATTCATTACAGATGGTTGTAATTGTCCACTGACTTTCTTATTTGGTAACAAATGTTTTCTCTCTGTATATGTCATGGGGGCCGGGAGTCTTATTAATGAGAATAGTACCATTATTCAAGATAGGATTTTCTGATTGTGAGGCAGAGTAAGTAGGAATGTATTTGCTTCTCTTTCATAAGGATAAAAATGAAATATTTTTATCTTGGAATCCGATTTTCCTCTTATGTGAAATTCTTAAATATTAGGATTTTTCCAATGTGAGTCTCCTCAAATGCAATTTTTGAACAAAGTAAATGTAATTTTTGAGTACACATTTTAGAGTTTCTCAGAAGAAAAAAAAAGTAGCTTGGATTATAGAAGAGAAACCATAGGTAAATAGGATAGTAGAAGAGAAAAGTCATTTCTGTAATGCAGTCTTAGGAGAAATGAAAGGAAAGAAGTCAGATAAATTATGATCATTTGCCTCCTGTGTCTGTGAGTGGAAGAAAAGTGCCACACTCAAAGAGATAGTGGCTGACCTACAATGTAGCTTAGCCGTGACCTCACATGCTCTACCATGTTGATTTTAGGGATAGAACTCAAACCCACAGCTGAGCGTGGAGACTGGAGAGCAGATCTGATTCAGCCCTCTAAGGTGTGTGAAAGAATTCAAGAGGAGAAATTATGCAAGCAAGATATCCTTTAACTTTTTCCCAGAAAAAGTTTCTCACTTTCCTAAATATTTCACTTCCAACGTCATAGATTTCCCCCCAAGCACTTTACTATTAAAATTGTAAACATAGAGAGAAGTTAAAAAAAATTGCACAGTGAACACCCATACATTTACCCCTAGATTCTACAATTTTGTCTTTTATTTCTGAACTAAAAATATTGTTTCTTGGAGATAATAAATACTGAATGAGTATTTGCTAATTTGATCACAGTGTGAATATCAGACAGTGTTATTTGCAAGAAGAAATTAAAGAAAATGATAAGGTAAAACAAAGGGAAAACTAAGAACTATATAGAGCAATGGTAGTATCTGAAGCACTTATATAAATCGTTAATAGAAAAAATGCATTATTTGTGAGGCTGCCAAACAAAAGCAAGTATAAGGTTTGGAAATTGATGTGTCATTGACTTTTTAGAGTTTGCAAATTGTATCATTGTTCTAGGGTAAAATTCATTGTGTGTGTAATATTTTCAACAGTTTAGATAAGAGATTTATCTCTTTATAGGTTGTTAAATGTCCTCACTGTTTGGATGATCAAACAACCCATGAAAGACAGACTCCGTTTCCTCCTGAATTTCCAGTTTCTTTAATGGCTGGAGCAGAGACAGAAGAATCAGGCATGGAAAATACAGCTGACCTTTCAGAGAAACAAACAGAAGAACCCATTTGTGCATCGCTGGATGGCCAGGCTAAATCCTTCCTACGCTCTTCTCAGGGTTAGTTGATTGTCTTCAGCATTCTATTACTAATATTTCAAATTGTGTTATATTGCATAAAACACAATTAATTGTTTATTTAATCGAAATAAATAATTATTGTATTTCTTTCTATGCCATGCTGCTTAAAAAGAATGTAATTATTGACAAGAATATTAGTTTTCATGCCTCATAATTATTTACTAATTATAATCAAATATAAATATACTCCATTGAAACACAGGTCTTTCTCCTGTGAACTTACAGCTCTAAAGTAAAGTTCTGGAAATTTTTTGCTTGCTCACAAGAGTGGTAGCTAACAAATGGCTATGAAAGAGAAAATACTCTCAGAAAGAAGTTTTCTGATAATGTAGTTTACTTTATAAATCTGTTTTCAAAGACTGACTTAATCAGGCACTAAGGAAGCAAATAACATTCTTTGAACTATTTAATGTACAGCAGTTTCAGCTTATAGAAGGGATATATTAGAGATTACTAGTATTTTTTTTGCAAAACAATTATTTCCTTTACCAAAAGATTTACAAGATTCTTTAACAGGTTAGATCCTCTAGCAGCAATGATAGTATTAGAAGCAAAAGTATGGGATGGACTGGTAGTAGCTGTAGTAATAGTTGCACTTATAGTATTACCAGCATAATACTAATATTAGAGGGATTACCAGTAATAATAATTATGCATGAAAAATGTTTTTTTTTTTAAATTAATGTTTATTTACTTTTGAGAGTGAGAGACAGAATGCGAGTGGAGAGGGGCAGAGAGAGAGAGGAAGACACAGAATCTGAAGCAGGCTCCAGGCTTTGAGCTGTCAGCACAGAGCCTGACATGGGGCTCGAACTCACGGACCACAAGGTCATGACCTGAGCCGAAGTCAGACGCCTAACCAATTATGCCATCCAGGCGCCCCGTGATACATGTTTTTTATGTGCCAGGCACTATAGTAGGTACTTTATTTTATAGTTTGGAAATTAGCAAATATTTTAAACATACCATACAGCAAATAGCATAACATATGCCAGTAGTAGTAACCATTTGTGCCACTTGCACAGGCATACATGAGAGTGCATTCTCTCTCTCCCTCTCAAAATAAGTTAACAGGTTTTTTTTAAAGTAACATTTTAGATGTGATTAAAGTCACCTGTGAACTGCTTGCTGCTTGTGTTCCCAGCCCTCTTAGACTTCCTATTGATAGTTTCCATGTATATTTCAATACATTTCCTACAGATGGATGTATCAGCAATGTATAGTGTCTTTCCTATGTTTTTAAAGGTTATGTAAGTAACCATGCTTTACATCTATTTCTGCAACTTGATTTTCTCTCAGTATTATCCTTGAGATCTACACACCTCATACACACACATATATGTATTTTTGGTTTATTAATTTTATTGCTGTATAATAGCATATATAGCAATGGGCATGATTGTAACAAACTTTGTTTTATTTTATATGTTGTTTCAAGTTTGGCTCAATCATAAAGAAGATTACAGAGTTTATTCTTGGACGTGTTCTTCTTAAACATATAGGTGTGAATTTCACTAGAGTATATCTATTCAGGAGAGGAACCATTCAATCGCAGCACACACTTAAAATTTATACCATAGTGACACATTGCCATCAAAATAGTTGTATCAATTTGCCCTTCTAACAGATGTCTAGGAGTTTGTTAGGCTCACATCCTATCAATCTTTGTTATAGTCAGTTTTGCCAATTCAATTGCAATGAAATATCTCTTTGCTTGAATTAGAACATTCCTGAATATGACTAAATTTGAGCATTTTTTTTTTCATGTGTTTCTGTTGACCATTTGGTTTTTATCTTCTGTGAACTGCCTATACCTATATTTTGTTCATTTTTCCTTTGGGTCATTTTAAAACTTTTTAAATTTTTTATTAATTGTTTTAATGTTTATTTATTTTTGAGAGAGAGAAGGAAAGAGAGAGAGGAAGCATGAGCAGGAAAGGAGCAGAGAGAGAAGGAGACACAGAATCTGAGACAGGCTCTGGGCTCTGAGCTGTTAGCACAGAGACCAAATGGGGGCTGGAACCCAAGAGCTGTGAGATCATGACCTGAGCCAAAGTCAGACACTTAACCGACTGAGCCACTGAAGCACCCCTGAAAAATTTTCTTTTTAATCTGTAAGAGTTCTGGACTTTTCTTTTTAATGTGAAATGAGTCATTGGAAGTGCTTGATTTCTAATTCAGTCTTTGATTGTTATTGAGTATTCACTCATTTTATTTAATTCATTTAAAAATTAACTGAATTAACTTAGTCATAGTATTATTGTGTATACAATCTATAATAATACTATGACTATATATTTAGTTTAATATATGAATATAATTTAAGTTATATTATATATTTTTATAATACAATATATGTTATCATATATACATATAATAAGTGTATGATATATGTATTGTATTACATGATATGTAATATGTGACATATCATACACCACACATAATATCTATTATATATATTATATACTTAATATGTTTATTACACAAAATATATTATCTTTAAAGTTTATTTTCTTTTGTACCAGTTTTATTCAATAGGGAATACACTGAGATTGCTCAAAATAAAATCTGCCTCCTACTCAAACCAAAGTCTTCTCCCTGGAGGAATCCAATGTTTTCTGAATATTATTCAATAGATATTTTGTGTTTCTATAGGAACCATAAAAATACCATTATAATTTTGAAAAACCACTAAATTTGTAATTATATTATTCTTTTCATTATTAATATTGGTTAATATATACCTTCTTTGCTTTTTTTATTAGTTTTTGTTGAGTTTTATCTTTCTATTCATTTTTTAAAAATATATGACTGCTTATCTCTCTCCATCAAGATTCCCTCTCCATTGTTTTCTTGTTTTCCATGTATTTATACTTAGCTTTATTATTTCTGTGCTTATATTTTCTTCAGGTTTTGGGGAAGAGTTACTTTTTAATCTCCTTGAGTTGAAAGCTTGAGTTATTTATCTTCAGTTTTATTTCTGTGGTAGATATGGGTGAAATCATCTGTTCATTTATCTCTATAGTACTGTCAACATTGTGTTATATATTTTAGATGTGTTGTTAAATGCATGCAATTTAGTGATTATTAGTTTATATGTTATCATTTCTTTCATACAGATGTCGTCTCCCTCTATATGCCTATTAATGATTCAATTTTCATTCTATTTCTTCTGATATTAATACTACTGCCTAAATTTTGTTTGATAAGTGCTTTATGGCATATATTGTTTTTAAATATTTATTTAAAAAATTAAAATTCAGGACAATTGGGTGGCTCAGTCAGTTAAGCATCTGACTTTGGCTCAGGTCATGATCTTGTAGTCTGTGAGTTCGAGTCTGACATTGGGCTCTGTGCTGACAGCTTGGAGCCTGGAACCTCCTTCAGATTCTCTGTCTTCCTCTTTCTCTGCCCCTCTCCCACTTGAACTCTGTCTGTCTGTCTCTCTCAAAAATAAACACTAATAAAAATTAAAAAATATATAGTCCATCTTAAAAATATAAATTAAAATTAAAAATTAAAATTCATCTGTGGTGTTCTTTTGAGTACAGTTTGCCAGTATAAATCTAGATTTTAGTTTTGTATTCAAGACAAGTAGTTAATATGTGTTTTTTAATAGATGAGTTTAATTTTTTATAATTATTATTATTACTGTTACATTTGTACTTGCTGTTAACATTTTTTGCAACTTAGTTTTGCCACCTTATTTGTTTGCTCTTAAAAAATACTTTATTTCCTGCATTTCTCTTTAACCAAAAATAATTTTCTTTATTTTGTTTATCCTCTGCTGTTTACCATCTATAGACTTTATTGTTAATTATTTCAGATGTTATCCTGAATTTTCTCACCTACATATTTAACTAATTTTTTTATACTTTATTCATTTTGAGAAAGTGAGTGAACACAAGTTGGGGAGGGGCAGAGAAAGAGGGAGAGAGGGACTCTCAAGCAGGCTCCCCACCAAAAGTGAGAAGCCAGACTGGGGGCTTAAACTCATGAAGTATGAGATCATGACCAGAGCCAAAAATCAAGAGTTGGATGCTTAAATGACTGGGCCACCCAGGCCACTCTTAAAATTGTTTTACAAAATCTAACTTCATCTAGTTTTCCCCTTCTCTTCCAGAACATGACAAGGACTTTTAGCATGTTTTGCCTACCTGTTAAACACCTCCATGTACACTCATATTATTCTCAGCTATGCTTTCAGTTCATTTTTTCATTAAACAGAAAGCTTTTTTTTTTTTTTTTTACTCTCAAGAGAAAATTAATTTACTGACACAGTTGGTCAATATTTGTGCTTCCTAGTCTTTTTATATAGCTTGTTCCATTTCTCTTCTTGTTGAAAAGAATCTTCCGTAATTCATTTAGAGTTTGGGTCTGTGAGCAGTAAACTCTCTTAGCCACTGTATCTCTGAAAAAGTGTTTATTCTTTCCTTACTTTTCTTACTTTTCCTCTTTTCCATCATTTATTCATGTATCTATTCTAGTAATAACTTCCCTCATAATTTTTTTCCAGTGTCTGTTTGTGTCTATTGAGGCTGATGAGAAGTTGGTGTTAAGTGGACAGCAACTAATAGAAGGATTTTAAGAGAAGTGGTGTATTTCAATTACTATTTTAGGCAGTTTCTTCTGGTAAATTTTAGGGGGGATTATTTGAAGAGGGCATGTCTAAAATCAGATCAATTAATTAAAATTTAGAGTAGTGCCAGCCACAGAAGAGGGTCTGAATTAAGGCACCAATAGTAAGTTGGACAAGAGAGTATAGATTTATCAAGCATTAAAAAGGTGCAAGAGAATAACTATAGGACTAAGAAAAGAATGTCCCTGTTGATTGATTAGATAATGATGGTGAGGAATAATTAAGGATGATTCCTAATATTTTGGCATGGGTAGACATGAATATTAACCAGCAGATAGTGTGAAATAAAGGAAGAGGAACAAGATTGGGGGGGGTGTGGAACCATGAGCTTGATTTTGGA